TGTCTTTGTGTTTCTCTCTAAACTCTTCAGAAGTTCTAGGGACAGCTCCGTCCTAGGTTAAGCTCCTTAATTAGCAGGAAGCTTATCATGCAAACGACAATTATATATATATATATATATATATTACTCCATCCATCTCAAAATAAGTGCCGTTCTTGCTTTCTGAGGAGGCAAATGATTTTAACTTTGACCAAATATTTTAAAAAATATTAATATTTATAATACATAATTAATATTATTAGATAATTTATTGAATCTATTTTTATAATAAGATATAAATGTTGCTAATATTATAGTGATATACTTATTTTGGGGCGCAGGGAGAATATGTCCTGCACCCATTGTTACATCCTGGACTGCGTGCATGCGTGCATATAGAATTGTAGAACAATCTGTGCGTGAGGCTACGCTGCTTCCGCTTCCACACGCGCATACAAAAATACAGTACAATACGAGTAGTCAAACATTCATACGGTGTAAAACGTGCGCATGTCAATTTTCTCCTTCTTGGAGGTAATAAGCTTCCACGAAAAAAAAATCATTCTGTAAGGCACGCCCCCAACCCTAACCCTAGACTCCTCTGGCCCCCTGCTCGCCGCCATCGCCGGTTGCCTCCCCTCCCTACCTTCTGCTCCTTTTCCCAACCCCCGCGAGTGCGCGCGGGCGCAGGCGAGCCGCTGCCGCCCCCATCCGCGTCGAGCTCCCGGCCAACGCCGTCGACTACCTCTCCGCCGCCGTCGGCCGCCTCCCACGGGCCGCCCACGCCGGATCCCGCCGCCGAGGACGCTACAGACGGCCTGTCGGGCGGCTGCCTCCACACCAACGCCGGCGCCGTCTCCCGTTCGTGCGCGGCTGGCGAACTCGACCCGCTACCGGTGGACGGCCACCCTCGGGCTCACCCACCGTCGGCGGCTAGTCCCTGCCGCCCAGGCTCACCTGCGCCGCCTACGACAACGGGAGCCGCCGTGGGGGCCGTCACTGGTCCCGCACCCGCCGGATCCGGCGCTGGGATGCCTCCACGTGCTCCCTCATGGGCCGCACCACCGTCGACGTCGGGCGCCGCCGCCGTAGCCGCCATCGAGGCCACCCTCGCCGGATCCGGCGCTGAGGCGGCTCCACGGGCTCCATCAACGCCCTCGCCGCGGCCGACGGAGGCTGCCTCCCGCCGCCGCCGGATGCTACCCTGGGCACTCACGCTGACGCCGCCACACGTGGCGCTCATGGGCTAGCTGTCCGGTCGCTGCCGAGCGAGTCCCCGCCGCCACCTCCAGCCTCGTCGGCGGCAGCGCCGGTGTTGGCTGCCACGGTCAACCCACACGCGGATCTGATGGCCAGTTGCTCGTCCCCGCCTTCGGGCGGCCTCGACGGCGCTGGAAGCTCCTTCACCCTCTCACCCGACGCGACACCTTTCCACCTAGGTTGTTCCTCCGGTGGGCGCACGAAGAGCCATCGCTGGGTGGACGACGATGGTGAGGAGTCCGACGACGACAACCCTACAACCTACCTCGATGTCGTTCATCGCTCGGCAAAGCCGGTAGATGTGTCCCCGCCGCGCGCCTAGGCTCGTTCGGTCATGACTCAGGGCCGTGGCGTCGTGGACGCTGGACGACAGGGACCGGGGCGAAGACGGAGGAGACGCAGCCAGCCGCGCCCCTAGCTGGTGCATGGCCTGACTGCTCGGCCATTGGATGGTCATATCCCTGCCCGCCAACGACTTGGTCGCCGCGGAAGGGTCTCCACCCCCAACGCTGATGGGTGGCAGGAGGTCCTCCCACGGTAGGAGATGCAACTTGCGACCGCCTCGGTTGAGCATCGCCAAAAACAGTCCCCGCAGGCTCGGAGGATCCCCACAGAGCTTCGCGATAGATGCTTTAACTATCTCTCCTACTCGCACCGTGTTGCAACTTGCCGGTTGCCACGACGTTGCCTGCGCTACCACGGCTACCGCCACCTCGCCAAGGACTATAGGAGGACTAGGTCTACGAAGTCGGCGACGAAGGGTGGCAACCTGTCACGGCACTCTGCTCGTGGCGACCCTCTGGCCTCCCAGCCGGCAGCAGGATAGACTTTGCACCGCCGGCAGCTCCAATTTCATCCGTGTCCAAGCGAGCATACGACGACTTATTTCCAGGGAACTTGACGTCGAGCGAAGTGAAAGCTTTGGACGAGCTGTTCCCGGCGACCAATGCTAGGACTAGTAGAAGACTCTTCTCGGATGACGGAGCAGGGTCGCGCGGCCAGCAGCGGAGATCGTAGGTTTCTGCACTGCTCTTAGTTCGGTGGTTTACTTTTATATAATATCGAAGTTTGAAACAGTCTGCTATAAAGGTCCAATCACAACTGTAAGACCTCATAGGGCGCTCATTAAAAGCACGTCGTGTGTATGGTTAAACTCTTCTTCTTAATTACAATGATACGTAAATCTTTCGTGTATTCGAGAAAAAAAATGTGTGCAGTTACAATGACACGCTGTCCAAGTCTCCATGCACCAAGCAACACTGCTATTGCCATATTTAAAAAAAAATCTGAACAAGTGATATGTTTTGCTCTGGTACTCTATTTCGCTCTATGAACCGTCTTGCAGTCTTGCAGTCCTGGCCTGGGACTGGGACATGGGAGGGAGCTAGCAGTTGAAACCTGCACATGGGGTGAGCAAGGAGACAAATAGATTTTTTCTTTTAAGACTCAGGAGAGAAATAGCTTTTTTTTTAGCAACAGGAGAGAAATAGCTAACGCAGCCAAAACAAAACAAAGGAGAATACATCTCGGCTTGGCATGTTAATCTGGCCCAGATTAATGTATGTTGTATTTGGGCCCTTGGGCCATGACAGGCCCTAACCTCCTCTCAAAAGCCCATTCAATCGTTTGCCCACAAATTACGGGCCGGTCAATCGGACATTCCCATCAGCCTACGGCCATCACATATTGGAGAGTGTATGTTTTTTTTCCGAAACACTCGTCGCTATGAACGAGCACATCACTTTTCACTCGGAACAATAGCATCATTAAATAAAAAAATAAATCTAGTATCGCGTAAAATCGAGGACTTAAATTTGGATGACTAAGTTACACCCCAAGGATCTTAATCAGCTGTCGCTCGAGATTGCTTGTTTAGAGTTAAAGGGAAAAACAAAGATGAAACCATCTTATTAACATAAGATCGGTCACACACCTAAAGGGCTAGTACGTTTGGATCGCTTGAGGGTGATAGGGACAGCTCGAGGATCGACTCACACTATGTAACGACTTTGTAGGGGTGGCTCCAAACCATTTCTACAGGTGGCCCCGTCTCTACAAATCGACGATTTGTATAGACGGTTCGTTAACCATCTCTATAAATCGATTTATAGGGACGGCTGATTATTTATAGGGGCGGCCAACCGTTTTTCAAAAATTACAAATTTAGGTTAAAAAAATAGCAATTAAAAAAATAGCAAAAAACACGCGCTTCGTGGCCACATGGTTTAAAATCACGACCTCAGCCTCACGCGTTCTCTCCTCTAAGCACTGCAACTCACAGTCAATTGTGTTTATATTAGATAATCCTTCTGCTATATTATGCTCAAACGAATTTAAAACAAGTGTTAGGGACTCTAGATGAATTCAAATGGAAAAGTGGTCAATTGCAAATTTGTATAACTTTATGATATCTACAACTTTCATTTTTGTTGTTTCTTCATCCAAGATTATTTGAAAAATTTTAAATTCAAATGTTAGAAATGTAGACATAATTATCCTCAACTAGATGATTTTAAATAAAAAAATTATCAACTACAAAGTTGTATAACTTTTCGAGATCTGCAACTTTCGTTGTTCCTTCTTTCAAGGTCGTTTGAAAAAATTGAATTTCAAATACAAGAAATTCAAATGTAGGTTTCCTTGACAAGATGATTTTAAATTATTCCTTGACAAGATGATTTTAAATTAAAAAGTTGTCAACTATAAAATTCTATAACTTTCCGAAATCTATAACTTTTATTTTGTTTTTTTTTCTCCATCCGAGGTTGTTCGAAAAATTTAAATTTTAAATTTAAGAAATTCAAACATAATTTTTCTTAACAAGATGATTTCAAATGAAAAAGTTGTCAACTACAAGGTCTATAACTTTTTCAGATCTACAACTTTTGTGTTTGGTTGTTTTTCCATCCGAGATCGTTAGAAAAATTCAAATTTTAGTACTGAATTTTTAGGGTTATTTTGATCTAGGCCATTACAATTCTTCGAGTTCTGAGAAACACCATTATAATTCACCTATTCGGAGATTTGCCATTACAATTTCATCTCTCCCGCATCCATGCCATTTTCTACGGCTAGCACGTACAAGGCCCACTGTCAGGCACCTATGCCTATGGGAAGCCATACGGACGTCAAGTCCGCGTCTCCTCCATCAGACCGAGCGCGTCCGCGGCACGTGTGTGAGCAGCCAACGCCACCACCACCGCGGGCGCGCGCAAGCACCTGCTGTCCCAGCACGCCGATGCGGCGACCACCCCCGCCGGCGACCTCCATCTCCCACTCCACCGTCCACAGCACCATCACCACCTCCCCCGTGATGAACTTCTCCTCACTACTATGGCTCACCTCGGCGCTAGCGGCCGCACGTGAGTTCGCGGACAAGGTGCGTCCCTCCGAGGAGGAGATCGACCGACACAACGCTGACACGGTGGTGCGGCGCCGGCTTCCCACGGCAGCAGCGACCGAGAACCCACGCCCGCACCTTGCGGCGGCGGTGGGTCGCTCGCCAACGACCGCGCGCGCGTCATGGCCTCGTCGTTGGGGGCGAGCACGGTGAGGACGTAGCCCTCGAAGACGAGGCAGCCCATCTCGGTGGTGAGGGAGGTGAGGATGACGAGGATGTCGGCGAGCTCGTTGTAGCCACCGTAGAGGAGCAGCATCTAGATGAAGTCCTTGACCTGGCTGTGCCCGTCGAAGTGGTGCTTCCCAGAGCCCGGCCCGGGCACGGGCCTGGGCGCGATGGAGGGCCCGGGCGCCCTGGCGTCCTAGATCGGGAGCACGGGGGGCGCGCCGGGGGGAACCGGCGACGCGGGCTTCTTGAGGCGGTGTGTCCTGGGGTCCACCTCGGGCGCGCCCGTGGGCAGCACGGTCGAGATCGCGGCGAGGCTGCGGCGGTGGTTGAAGCCCTCCTGGACAGAGTGCGGGACGAGCAGGTGCTCGATGCCGTGGATGACCCCATTGGGCCTGAGCATGACGTCCGGGCGTGTGATGGCGGCATGGCCGACGTGCATGCCGGTCCCTGCCACGGTGAGCTCGACCTCCTCGCCGGAGAGCATGGGGTGTGAGGCCGTGGGCCAGGCGTCGGAAGGTAGGCGCGAGGGGAGGGCGTGGTAGAGCAGCAACACCTGGAGCGACTTGAGGTTGCGCGGCTCCAGTAGGAAGCGCTTGAACTCCGGGTCGAGGTCCCGCTCCAGCGCCTCATTCCGCGGCACGAAGATGGTGACGTTGTGCTTCCCGACGGCGTCCTCTAGCGTCTGCAGGAGCAGCGCCTTCTCCACCAGCTCCGCCAGCCCCGTGTAGTGCGAGTCCAGCAGCGCCACTAGCACGGAGTTGGAGTTGACCCCGAACGTGAATAGCAGGGCTGCCAGGACGCCTCCCACGCCGGACCCCGCCGCCGCGTCGAAGAAGTTCGCGAGCCACGCCGCTGCAGCACAGCCTCCAGGCGCACCAGCGCGGCGCCGTGCCGCCATCTATGGAGAGGACGCACACCTCTCCTGTGTTGGCGGCTGCCCGTGGGGGCCAGAGGCGGAGCGACAGCTCTCAATCGCTCATCCGCGGCGCCCTGCGTGCGAGCGATAACGGGCTCGGTCGGTGGAGACGGGGACTTGATGTCCGTATGCCTTCCGTAGGCATACATGCCTGACAGTGGGCCTCGTACGCGGCAACCGTAGAAAATGGCATGGATGCGGGAGAGATGAAATTGTAATGGCAAATCTTGTGAATTATATTGACGTTTCTCAAAACTTAGAGAATTGTGATGGCCTATATCAAAATAACCCTATTTTTTACGGATGGACGTCCATTCGTAGGTAGCGGTTGGATCTAGAGCCGTCCTCACAAATAGAGCTATTTGTAGGGGCGGCTGATAACACCAGTAGCCTCTACAATTTGTAGGGACGGCTTATGTAGGGAACCATTCGTGGGGCAGTTTTAGATTGAGCCGCTCCTTAAAAAAGAGGCGTAATTATAAATCTTTATGTAGTAGTGTCATGAGAGGGCCATGCAACCTTAGAACGTTTCACCAATTCTTTATGGTTGGACCAAAAATATTAATAGGGCATACAAAAGAAAGAGAAAAAAACAATTACTTGATAAATCGGATGAGTTGGACAAAAAGTCCAAATTGTTACAGCTTGATGATGAAGAACTAAATCTAAGTATATGTTAAACGAAAGGTTAGCCCAACTTACTAGTGCAGACCAGGGTTTCCTTGCTCAACATTCTTTTTTTTTCGCGACGGTTCTTTGGCACATATTTCATTTAAGAGGGAGTAGAAAGTTTGTTACAGGACACTCGCCTAGCTTCAGGATCGGTAACGAGGATTACCTGCCTGTTGCCGTTAGCAGTTACTCCATCCGGTTTTATGTAAGGTTGTCTTAAGTCAAATGTTTTAAAAAACTACAAATAAATTTTCTTGAGTTAAGTTTGAAAACATGAAAGTGATGTAAGTAAATTTCTCTTGAAATGTAGTTTCATAAAAGTATATATTGACTATATATGTTATAAATATTTTATAGCAAAAAGTAATGGTCAAAGTTGTTTTTACCGTATCGCTGTCCAAAACGACATTCTTTAAAAACCGGAGGAAGTAATCTTTAGGGCGATATTACATACAACAATTTTGCCACCAACATGCATGCTCAAGCTAAAGCAGCAGAAGCAACGACACTAGCTTCCTGTAACGGGCATTCTAGCGCCGGACGTCCGGCGCGAGCGCTGTGTCCGGATGCCACTCCCCTTCCCAAACCGCCCGACCCCCGCAGAAACGAATCCCAAAACGCTCGCCCCTCGCATAATGGAACGGAATGGAATAGAATCCGGACGTCGCTCCCCTCCCCAACGCACCCCGTTCCCCCACCGCGCCCATGTCCCAAATAGCACGAAACACTTCAAGTGCAATATCGTAAACATATGGAAAAACTATGTAGTGCAACATTGAAATATAAAAACGGCAACATCGCAAAAATATGTAGTGCAACATCGAAAAACATGTACTGCAACGTCGAAAAAATATATACTGCAACAACGAAAATTTTGTACTGCAACATAAAAAATTATGTATTGTAACATCGCAAAAATATGCAGTGCAACATTGAAAAAATATGTACTGTAACATCAAAAAAATATGTATTGCAACATCGAAAATTATGTGCTGCAACATCGAAAATTATGTAATGTAACATCTCAAATAGTAGTACTGCAACATCGTAAAAACATCTGTTGCAACGACCCAAAAATTCCATTGCAACATTAAAAAAATCATATGTTGCAACATAAAAAAAAACCCATTGCAACACGGGAGAAACAGCAAAAAAAAAAGCGTACAAAACAGCCCCTGACCCATCACCTTCGAGCTTGCCGGAGGGAGGATGGAATAGGACCCAGAGCTCGCTAGGACCCTTGCCACCGCCGCGTCCCTCAGATCCAGAGGAGGAGGAGGAGGATGGCTCATATCCAGAGGAGAAGGAGGAGGAGGAGGAGGGCTCGGATTCAAAGAAGAACCGACCTACCTCGTCGGAGCCGCCATGGCCGTCCTCGTCTCCGGGCGTGGGAGGGAGGGAGCGTGGGCGGGCAGGACAGTAGCGAGCTGGCGTGCGGGCGCGGTGTTTGTCCCGGGGCGCAAGCAGGCCCGGAGAAGCGGCGCGGCGGTGCGGCAGCGAGTGGGTGCGGGGGAAAGTGCAGGCGGAGTGGGCGCAGGGGAGCGGAGGGTCACAGGCGCGGGTGAGAGTGCGGGCGGAGTGGGCGCAAGGGAGCGGAGGTACCGGACGGGGTCACGCGATCGGAATAGAATAGGATGCGTCCGGCGCACGAGTCGAGGACGGACGTCCTAATAATAGAATCGTTATTATCGTTCCTGTAACCAGCTTGCGACCAGTGCCCCGCGTCCTCTATGATCTTCGACAACAGCTTCAAAGGTTGCGCGCTCAGTCCCCCAAAAGTTCTTGCATTGCTTCTTTCCAAATCGACCAGCCAATGAGGAAGAACAGTGAATCAAAGCCCTGGTCTAAGCTGCCTTGGGTACCGCTTTCCTCTCTCGAATCCACCGAGAAAAGAAGATGTGTTCCTCGCGCGGCGTGATGACGTCCTTGCTCAACATTCACACACCAATGTTTTAGTTACAGCTTGGTTTGAAAGTTGTTGACTTGTTTCATGCATACGACCTGAACAAAACCAAATAAAGTTGTATAACTATTATTAAGAGGATATTTTTTTTAGTCTGCGACCATCAATGTTCAGCAAGAGCCAATGCAATACATGCTTGTGTATTGGTCCATGCTTATGCAAAATATTCTGTCTTGTATATACTACTCCTGTTCCAAAATAGAGACTGTTTTAATTTTATCATAAGCTTAAGTTTTATAGAAGATACACCAGCACCTAGAGTATCAAATTAGTTTAACGTTAAATTCACCATGAAGGATCGTTAGATCCATGTAGGCTGTAGAAAACGAATGGAAAACAACCCTCCCTGCTCCCTGGTTTCACGGAAGGGCGTCCGACGCTCCGGACGCGCAGGGGACCACACCCGCTAGCCGTGTCACTGGGAACCGCACAACCGCCCACCTGCTGGCATCTCCCTCTTCTCGCGCCACTCCGTGGCATCGAGCTCCATGCTAGCGTCGAGCTCCACATCGACAAGCCTCCATTCGTCTAAACAGCAAGTAGATGGTACGCTGAAAGCGCATGTTGCAAGAGTATATTTCAAGTGTTTCGGATGTTTTAGAGGTATGTTGCAAGTGTTGTATATCGATATTGCAAAAGTAGATCGGGATGTTGCACGTGTTGTAATGGCTATAAACGTATGTTTTAAGTGTATGTTCCAAATGTTTTAACTGTTCCAGACGTATATTGCAAGTGTTTTATCTGGATGTTGTAAAAGTAGATCTAGATGTGGCATATACATGCATGTTGCAAGCATATGTTTTAAGTGTTTCAGGTGTTTCACACATATATTACAAGTGTTTATCTACATGTTGCATATGTTTGTAATGGTTTTCAAGTGTTTTAAGTCGTTTTGTTTTGAGTGTTTCATCTGTCTTTTTTTGTATGTTGCAACTGTTATATCTGAATGTTTCAAAAGTAGATCGGGTGTTGCACATGGGATGCGCGTGAGTAGTGGCTGACGGCGTGGGCGACGTCTAGAACAGCGTGGGCCCGCTGCTAGGGCACTAGCTCATGAGCCCGACAAGCTAGGGTGCTCGCTCGCTCGTTGTGCGGGCATCGTCCGGACGCTAGCACCTCGGATCGGACATCTAGGCGCTAGCTAGTCCCTGGTTGCCCACAGCCAGTGAAGTACATGTACATACATGACTCGCCAACGAACTAGCTAACTAGGAACAGCTTGTTCCTCATCATCACCGGTGTGTGAGCATGGATCGCGAAGGGGCAGTGTCGACATGAAGCGGATGGTTTCCACAATTTGGTCGAAAGCGTGGATCCACCTCGGAGTAAAATTGACGATCCAGCTCCAAGTCAAATTACGATAAGATACCTCGAGTTCACTACGTGAAAAACAGTTTGTAGCAACAGTACAAATTTTTGTAGGGGCGGCTCGTGATGGAGCCGCCCCTACAGTGACGTGCTCGGAAGCCCAGAGACCAGCTGCCCCTACAAATAAAACAGCAGGGGCGGCTGGTGATACGAGCCGCCCCTACAAATGGGTCTGATTTATAGGGGCGGCTCACTCACCAGCCGCCCCTAGTGTTCTATTTGTAGGGGTGGCTGGTGATTAAACCGCCCCTATAAATGCCCCGCGTATAATTACCTGCTATTTGTAGGGGCGGCTTAATCACCAGTCGCCCCTACAAATGACCCACATATAAAAAAACTGCAGCACCTTTTTCCTTCTCGGGTCACTTAAGGGGGGAAGGTTTTGGTCTCAAATCCTTTGGTGGAGAGGTTGTAGAAGGTAAGAAAATGCTATTCCACACTTTTTTGAAGTTTTAATGGTTGATTTGTGAGTAATTAGAGTTTTGTTTTTCTCTCTCTTCTATAGTGCTTGAGCTACTTATGAAGCAAATTAGACCCAAATTTTGAATGTACTAGGATAAATTAGGTAGGGGAACAAGATCATACCCTTATTTGGTCCATATTTCTTGATTTTAGTGAACAATTAGTTAATTTTATGGATGTTTCATGTGCATGTAGATCTAGATCTAGGGTTTGATTTTTTTATTAATTTTGTTTTTGTAAATTTATGTTTGATGAAATTGGACTAGGGTTTGTATGAAAGATATTGGGTAAAATATAATTGTTGCTAATTGTTGCCTTTGAAATTATTTATTGTAATCAACAAATATGTATTTTAATTATTTATGGATAAATGGACCATTAATTAATTTTCCTCTACCATGGTGTGTTTGTATGTTTCATGTAATTATATTTGATTTATATTCATATATATCTAAAGTATATACAATTATTCTCAAGTAATTATTAATTTGATTTATTTTTATATATATCTGAATAA